CCCCATACGAGCGGAGGCCGAACCGGCGCGCCCCCGCCGTCCGCGAGCTCCTTCCTCTGGTTACCTGTACACATGTAGGTAACGTCGGCACTTGATTAGCTTTGCAGTGGGAGGCCTCCGCCCCTCCGACCTGAGAGACGCTGCATGAGTTAATCAGGCGGAGGCTGCGCCAGGTCACGGCATCATCCCGCAAGCACAGTCTGAGGAACCGTCATCTTGGGGAGAGTCTCTGCCGTCTTGGGGAGGACCTCCGCCATTATCCTTGTGCTAGTCTCCGCCATCTTGGGGAGAGCCTCCGCCATTATTCCTTCATCAGGCCTCTTCGAGGGGAGTTGGCCCATACTCCGTATGGGCTCCCCCAACACCGCTCGCGCGGTTGCCAGAATTACTATTTGGCGCCTGGCGAAGAGGAGCCATATCGTAGCACCCAAAGCAAAAACTTTATTGAAAAGGTGAGCAATGGATTTTTTAAATTTCAATATTTGCTTGATTAGAATTTAAATGAATTGTTAATAATGGCACGATGATGTTATTGTGTAGGTGATGTTTTTGGCTGCGGTGGCTCGCCCACGCTTTCATGCTAACGGCACGGTGATCTTCGATGGAAAACTAGGAATTTGGCCGTTCACATACATGCATGGATCATTTATTGGTACTAGTAGTAGTCGTACAAGTTTAATTGATCAAAAGGAGTACTCGTACATGCTCAAAATGATCTAAAGGATGAAACGACAAGGGGTAAAAATAATTATTCATGCTAATCGATCAATTGATCAATTCCTAGTACATGTTCTTTCCGGGTCGTTCCCATGGTCTTCTTCATCGCTACCGACATAGCTGTTGGTTGAAGATCCATCCGAGGGTGGCTCAAACATAGCGCGCATCTCGCCGCACCCGGAACACTCATACTTTGCCATCTCTCTGAACCAATGCGAGAAGTTAGTCTTCGTTCCGGGCAATTGAAGACACATCACACATGGCACCAGCTTGATCTCCTCCTTCAGCATGGGAAGCGAGGTCGCCGTCTTCGTGTACTTGTCCATTGGAAGCGAGATCGCTTGCTTTGTCTTCTCCTTGGGCATGGAAGATGAGTTGCAGTTGTCCATGGAGTCTGGCGTGAAAGAGAGGGAGAGAAACAAAGCTACGGAGATACGCGTGCCAGACTCGATAGAATGCATATGTACAAAGAAAAAACGATAGGTATCGATCGTTCTGTTAAGAAAAAAAAAGATTCCTAAATCTAAGGGATTGGTTGGGGCATGTGCTATGTACGGTGGGAAGGTTTCCAAACTAATCGGCGTGGGAGCTGATACGTACCTATATTTTGGATTTTTCTTTAAAAATTTATATGGCTTATATTAAGGAACCGAGGGAGTACAACGGTGTCGGATTTGTCATATAGTCCTAAATTTTAACTTATTAGATGGTTGTTTCGCGAAACGACGTCCTCTTTCTCTCACCTCACTATCTCTCCACATCATCAAAATTTCTATATGCATTTGCATCATCATAAAGTAATGGTATATATGCTTTTTTCCCGGTTAATTTCATATTTTTGGGCCTGGTATTTGACACGAATACTCTATATATTCTTAGCTGTTAAATCATCATCAAATCCAACAATATATTGTTCGCAAAAAAAAATCCAACAATATATATTTCCCTGATTAATGTGTAGCAATATAGCTAAATGGAAATTAGCATCTGAAGATGTTCAAAACTGAGTTTGGTCATTGAATCCATGCTGGTCAGAAAGTTGTTCTCGTCGTTGTCGTTTGGCCACTACAAAGTGTTTGATATACTTGATGACATCATCCAATAGTAATGAGTTTAAAATGGATTAGTCCTCAAAGTCGCATGCATATATTTATCTGTCCAATTTTTATTGTTCACTCGAAAGCTGAAGCTGAAGCTGAAATCACGCTCTTTGTAGCCGATGCTCGCCGGCCTTTAGTGCCGCCACTTAATTTTTTTATACCTTTTCTCTTCCTTCTAATTTCTCACCTGAGCCATATTGTTGAATTCTGTTTGTTGGCATCATCTAATTGCATGCAATCAAGTTGCCATCTACAGATGCTTTGATTTGCGTCCACGTCCACGTATATTGTCTTTATTTATGTCTAGGCTAAATTATAATAATTTTCTTGTCATATTGGATATAAATTGAATTGAGTTATTTATTAATTGTATTTGACATGGATACTCTACTTATTCTCGACTGTTGGACCATCATAAAATCCAACAGTGTTTTTTTTCTTTTTTTCCTCATTGATCTCGTTTCTAGGCCTTATATTTTACATGTATACTCTATTTATTCTTAGCCGTAAAATTATCATAAAGTCTAATGGTACATATTCTTTTTTCCCTGACTAATCTAGTAATTTTTGGGTCTTTTATTTGACACAAATACTCTATTTGTTCTCAACTATTAAATCATCATAAAATCCAATAATGCATATTTCTTCCTTTTTTTGATTAATCTCGTAATTTCTAGTCCTTATATTTTACATGAATACTCTACTTATTGTTCGTCGTTACGTCATCATAAAAATCCTAAGGTACATATTATTTTTTTCTTTTTTCCAATTAATCTCGTAATTTCAAGGCCTCACATTTGATAAGGATACTCTATTTGTTCTCGGTCATTAGATCCTCATAAAATCCAACGGTGCATATTTTTTCTATTTTTCTCGATTAATCTCGCAATATATTGGTCTTGTGTTTGATATGGATACTCCATTTATTCTCAGCCGTTAGATCATCATAAAATCTAATGGTCCATATTCTTTTCTTTTTTATATACTTAACTTATTCTCGGTTATTAAATCATTATAAAATCCAATAGTGTATATTTTTTCTTTTCTTTTGATATTCTATTTATTCTTGGCCATTAGATCATCATAAAACAACGGTAGGTACCCTTTTTCTCGATTAACCTTGTACTTCTAAGCCCTCTTAGCGAACACGGGGCTCCTTTTGATTTTGTTGTATTAATATAATAGATCTATTCCATGACAATGCAGCAACATATCAAAATCATGGTAATAAGATCTTTCAAAAAATCATGGTAATAATTAATTTGACATGTATAAATATACCTAATTCTTTTACAGATCACAGTATGCAAGATGCTTTGACGTTATAAATATTCTATTCCCTATCTACGCAAAAAAAAATGCAATGTAGCTGAAGACAAATAATTACTCCCTCCATCCCAAATTGTAAGTCATTCCAAGAATCTTGGAGAGTCAAACTTTTTCAAGTTTAACTAAAATTATAGAGAGAAACACAAAGATTGATGACATCAAATAGGTATAATATGAAAATATAACTAATAAAGAATCTAATGATACTTACTAGGTATGATAAATATTATTATTTTGTTATATAAATTTGGTCAAACTTGAAAAACTTTGACTCTCCAAGATTCTTGAAATGACTTACAATTTGGGATGGAGGGAGTAACTCATAATAAATTGTTCGCCATATATTTGAGCTAAATACCAAACCCGTGTGCCAACAAGCAAATCCTTGTTCTCCGGTAAAAAAAAAAAGAACAAAGGCGAGGTTTCAAATTCTTGGGTTCACTATGGCTATCCATAGAACAGCAAGATACGGAGTATACTTGCATAACGAATCAAGTCTCTTAAGAGCAACTCCAGTAGGTCTTTATTTGAGCCCTGAAACATCGCGCCCACAGGTCCGATGCCGTACGTGTCGCCTACTCCACCGTCCCCGGTGAGACCCTTCCCCCGACACGGCTCCCTCGAGGCTCCGCCCGGCCCCTCATATATTCTTCTTATTCCTCTTATGATTAACTGCAGTTTCTCATCAATCATATAAGTCTCTTTGGTTTGTTATTCGCTCTTGTCTTTTGAGCCTTACGCATACTAGGTATATAGGTACTGCCGTGTACCGTTCTAGCTAGCTTCTGCACGGCCGCGAGTTCCTATGGCCATGGCCTCGGCTGGAGGTATCGATCGGATCAGCGCCAGGGGCGAAGCCAGGAAAATTGGTCGCTGGGTCAATACTCACATTACTACGTCCTAAGTCATAGGTTACAATAATCAAGGTTTTCAATTTTGGTATTACAAAAATTTCTGCCATCCTCGAAATTACCGAATTTTATAAAATTTGGCTAAAAATTTTTCTAGAGACTAGCACATGAAGTATGTTTTTCTAAGAATATTTAGATCTAAACATATATTAGCATGATTTATGACTACACATCTATTGAGTACAAGAATATGCAACATAAACAATAGAAAATATGAGTTTAGAGTTATATAGCACATGCATCAGTGTATTACAAAAATTCGGATTTTCTTTTGGCCACCACCGAAATTCGCAAAATTTCACCAAAATTTTGAACCATGACGATAATATATATCATACATAACATCGCAAAGATAAAATAACAATTGCATAGTGTGCAGTTACCTCCTATAGTTTTTCTCTGTGGTTACAATCCTCCATCTTATGAATGTACTACTTGCCTTTCGAGTTCAGACTGTATAGCTGAAAAAAAAACAAAAAATCTAAGACTGGATGGAGACACACTCAGGAGAGGAGATGAGCGGAGAGCAACCTTATTGCTATCACCGGAGCTGCCCACCGTCGCAAGTCGACCACTTGCTCATCACTGAGATTTAAGTCCGGCCGGCCACCCACCCAACTCAGATCATCACTTCACCACCCGACGGCAAGGAAGATTAGCGATGCGCTGATGGGAGAAGCAGAAAGGATTTGGGATGCAAGCGGCCGAGAATAACGAAGATGAAAAGGGGGTGTGGCAACGTTTGGCATTCAGGCCGGCTGCCTGCCTGGCTATACTATTGCTAGCCTGATCACTCATGGGCTAGGGAGATGTCGAGATGGACTGTTGCTATTGGGCTGCCAGCCTACCATCGGGGTCCAACAAAAAATTTACCGACGTCAATACCGGCCAAGAATCGCTAGGTGCAAGCGCGGCGGCAAAACCGTGGGGGTCGGCCGACCCGATGGCTACACGTAGCTTCGCCCAGCACCCTGCCGGACGATTTGCTTCACCTCATCCTGGGCTTGGTGTGCGACGCGAAGTCCGTCGTTCGCACGGCCGCGCTGTCCAGGCGATGGCGGCGCGTGTGGATCTATGCGACTATGCGCAGCAACTGGCGCTATTATTGGACACCCAAGTGAGACCCGGCGCTGATCCAGGCCAGTTCGTGGATTGGGTGTTAGCTCAGCGAGGTGATGCTGATATAGGATCTCTCAACATCAGCATGTCGTCCAGATCTTCGCTTGTGTACACCTCGCAGGAAAAGGTCAACGGGTGGCTCCGCTATGCCATGCAGCGCGTCGTCAAATCTTTCCGTCTTGACCTCCCAAACCCAAGGCACATCATGTTCAGGCCATGGCCACCCCTCCGGGTGGATGGGCCGGCTGTCGTGTTGCCCGACCGTGGGAGGATGACGTCCATCGAGATGTTTCTACCATCATGCTACAGCTTCCAGCTTCCGGTGGCTGCGTCGGCCAAGTACGAAGCGCTTACAGATCTCACGCTCTGCAGTGCGTCTTTCTTCGACGGGGAGTCCAGCGCCGGCGGCGGGCGTACACTCGGCGACTTTGTGTCGTCGTCCTGCTGCCCTCGCCTGCGTAAACTTGAGATCTCCTCCATCAAAGGATTGGCCCAGCTTGCCATCCGCTCCGAGACGCTCGAAAGGTTTGAGCTTGAATCTGCAAATGACCTAAGAGTGCTGGACGTAACCGCACCCAACCTTCGCGTCCTCGAGCTACATGACGACTGCTTTGACGATGAGAGCAATAACAAGATCAGAATTGTGTCGTTCAGGCTGCAGGAGACTAGAATACGCCACGAATCGAGGCGTCGCCGTTCGGACCTGGTGATACATAACCTAACAAGTGTTTGCCGGCTCGATCTTGAACTAAACATGCACGGGCAATACTATGTTCGCAGCACGGGCATTGGTTTCTGGCTATTGGAGAAGTGCCCTAGCGTTGAACACGTACGCGTGTGGCTTGATCATCTGCGGTCGCCGCCTAGCAGTGTCATCGAGGGTGACACTATTGCTGATTTTACGTTGGAAGGCGTGGCGCCATTTGCCAGTGTTAGGAGCATGGATATGACCGTGAGAGCACATCAGTTTCAAGATTACCAACTAGTGACAAGTATATTTGCGCTGCTTCTGAGGTGCCCACGCCTGAGATCGTTGCGTATCAACATAAAAGATGATACAACAAATAAGTTTCTTTAAATTAAAACTATATCTAATTACTAGCTATTTCCCATGGAAAACACAACGAACACCCATATATATAGAGTACATTATTATTGCAAACTACTAAACACGCCTTGCTTCGTTTCTTTACTTCGTTTTTTCATCTACAGGCGAGAAGTTGGACGTGCTCCTTCTGTGATGAGCATCAGTATTCATGGACAGATCACCGGTCGATCTCCTTGGAATCACTAGAAGACGTGGAAATAACCGGCCGGTTTCAGAGGAGCGGACGAGGACATGGACCTTGTGAGATTGTTATTTGCAAGCTCGACGAACTCAATCGAGAGCATGACTTTAGACAACATAACTAAGACTTGCGGTCCCGGTACGGTTTCTTTGAAACGGATGACGGCAGACCAAGATGGTAATGGCACGGAGACGATTGATCAGAAACTAATGAATATACCTACTGTTGATCGCGGGCGATGGCAATTTTTTTTCGCGAACGTGCACTGTAGCACATATTTCATTAAGAGGAAAAAGAGAACATCCAACAAACAACGCCAGCGTCGACCGAAGGTAACCAAAGGTTGCCCCGACGAACCGCACAAACATAAAACAGAGCGGCAAACGAAAAACCAGAGGAAGCCGGCAGTAACCACACAAGAGACTAATTACATGAATGAATTGAGCGACCACAGGGTCGATACCCGGCCCGCAACCACAAGGCGACCTCCTGTAGGATCTCCAAACACAACTCGCGAGCGTCCTTGGCTTCATTCCTGAAAGTCCGTGCGTTGCGTTCCTTCCAAAGCACCCAGCAGGTTAGCATAACGAGCGAATCAAAGCCCTTCCTGCTGCCTCGGGGCACCCTACGCCTAGCCCAGGTCCACCAGAGGAAGGGGTCGACGTCACCGTGAGTGACCATGGTTGTGAGCCCAAGCTTGGACAGGAGCATGTCCCAAACCTGACGGCTGAGGACACAACCCAGCAGGATATGATCCAGAGTCTCGGAGGCTTGAAGACACATGATGCAAGTGTCATTGTCCTGCAGCCCATGTCGCATCCGCCGATTCGCGGTCCAGCAACGACGATGCAGAGCCAACCAGAAGAAGAACCTAACCTTGGGCGGTGCACGTGTCTCCCAAATCAACTTAGCACCGAGTGGCGAGGTCGATCCGATGAACATCGCACCATACGCCGATGCCGCGGAGTACTTGTGGTCAGTGGACCAACGCCAGATGACGGAGTCTGGAACCCCCGGCATGAGCTGGACACCGCGAACCCGCTCCCAGAGGTCCAGGTACTGGAGGAAGACCTGAACAATTTGTGCCCCAGTTATGTCGGACACCAAGGCGTGATCAGCCAGACCCGACGCCACAGACTGTATCCTCGCCTTCGCCCGGGGGACTGAGGCGAACACCACAGGCGCAATTTGGTCAACACAACACCCATGAATCCAGGAGTCTTGCCAGAACAGTGTTGAGCTCCCATCTCCGACCACCGTCATGGTTGCTGCACGAAAGAGGGCACGCGTGGCCTTGTCTGACGACAACGGAAGGTCGATCCAAGTTCTGTTCGGGTCAACCTTCCGCACCGAATCCCAGCGCAGTCTGAGAGCTAGACCAAACCTTCGTAGGTCGATGATGGCGAGACCACCAAGCTCCTTGGGCCTGCAAACCACCTCCCACGCCACGCGACACATGCCCGCGCTCACTGTGGCCGACCCAGTCCAGATGAACGATCGACGTATCTTATCGATGCGGTCGACCGCCCATGGCGACAGGCACACGGCAATGGAGAGGTGCACCGGGATGGCCGAGAGCGTCGCCTGTGTCAACGCCACCCGACCCGCAGTGTTCATGAGATGACCTTTCCAGAGCGGAATACGCGCCGCGACGACGTCAATGAGGAATTGCTCCTCGCTTCGGCGCAGCTTGCGAGTAGAGAGAGGGATGCCCAAGTACTTGCACAGAAAGGCTCCGATTGTGCAGGACAGCATGTTCTCAACCAGCTAAAGCTCCTCCTGTGAACAGGCAATCGTGTTGGTGACACACTTGTCCAGGTTTGTGTACAAACCCGACGCATCGCCGAAGATCTGTAGGATGGTTATGATGGCGACGATGTCGTTCACCTCTGGCGTAATGAACATGACGACGTCGTCCGCGTATAGCGACACCCGTTAACGCACCGCAGCGCACCGGAGAGGTGAGAAGATCGATTGGGACTCAGCCCACCGGATGAGTCCGCCAAGCACCTCCATAGCTAGGACGAACAACATCGGGGACAAGGGGTCACCTTGCCGTAAGCCTCTGGCATGGCAGATGCGGTTGCCCGGTCTGCCATTGAGGAGGACCTTGGTGCTTGCTGATCCAAGGAGGATAGACATCCAGTCCCTCCACCGCTGACTGAAGTTGAGCCGTTGTAGGACCTCCAAAAGGAAAGGCCAACAGACGGAGTCGAAGGCTTTCGCAATATCGATCTTGAGGAGGAGGCAACTACGCTTCTTCTGGTGCAAGGTCTTGTAGGTCAGGTGAACGGCGCGGAAATTATCATGTATGGACCGTCCCTGGATGAACGCTCTCTAACAGGGATGCACCAGATCATTGAGCACCAGAGCAAGCCGACGGGCAAGACATTTGGCAATAAGCTTTCCAAAGCTATGCATTAGGCTGATCGGGCGGTAGTCTCTGATCTCCTGGGCTTCATTCTTCTTTTTGAGGAGAATCATGAAGGCATCGTTGATTAAATTGAAGCTGCGCCTGTCCAGCGACCAGAACACGTTGAAAGCGTTGATGACGTCTTGTTTGATGATCGGCTAGGCTACTTTGTAGAATAGCCCGGTGAAGCCGTCCGGCCCCGGAGCTTTGTCCGACGGCAACTCTGAGATGGTCGCCTAGATCTCGAACTCGGAGAAGCAGACGTCCAGCATGGATAAATCATGCTGAGCGAGACCTAGGTTGTCGAAATTCACAGTGGCCGCTCGATGGAACGGAGTGCTGAGCAGGCCGTTGTAGTGGTCATACACTGCGTCCGCCATCTGCTCATTGAGGACAAGGTCGTTCCCCTAGACCCTGAGCAAGGTGATGTGGTTCTTTCAACTACGGTGGCAAGCATGAAGATGGAAAAACCTCATGTTGGCGTCCCCTTCGGCTAGGAACATCAATCTGGAGTGCTACCTAGCGATTGTTCTTGTGAGGGACACGAGGCCAAGGCATTTGCATTTCATGTCCTTTCTCAGCGCAATCTCCCCAGTCGACAGGGGTCGCGGGTCTTGCGCGTAGTCCAAACGCAAGATGACCTCGCGTGCAATGGCTAGCTGCAGCCAGATGCTCCCGATATTGCGCATACTCCAACTTTTCAGCGCACACGACGTTCCTGAGTTTGTAGTCCATGATACAAAACGCATCTGCATGAAGCAAGGTCGGTTCCCATGCCAAGGCGACGACGTCGAGGAACCCAAACAGATTTGTCCAGAAGGACTCGAACCGGAAGCGCTTACGCGCCCAGGGAACGACATCCGTGCGCAGGAGAAGGGGTGTGTGGTCCGAGCAGTCCGACGAGAGCGCTCGTAGCTGGTGGTTCGGGTACAGTTCTAACCAATCCACCAAAGCAAAAGCGCGGTTAATGCGCTCGAGCGTTGGGTGTAGACGCTCGTTAGTCCATGTGAACAGGCGATTGTTGAGGTGTAACTCCTCGACCGCCACCGCTCCAAGAAAACGCCCAAAGCGGCGCATACACCGGTGATCAAGGTGGTCGTTGTTCTTATCCGCCGCGTGGTAGATCTTGTTGAAGTCCCCGCAAAGGAGCCAGAGACCCAGCAGTGAGGAGCAGAGAGCCGTGAGCTCGTTAAGAAAAGCCTGCTGGGCATTAGCATCCAGCGGCCCATAAACGACCGTGATCCACCAGGCTAGCCTGGGATCAGAGTGACTGGCAATTTTGGCAGTTACCAAGTGTGACTGCAGAGACACATGCGACGCTGACCAGGCGTCCATCCTCCAGCCGAGGAGAACTCCACCGGTGGTATTCACAGCAGGCAACAAGGCATACTCAAATGATGTTCCCAGGCATTCAGAAGCAAGTTGGTTGCAGACATTGGCGAGCTTAGTCTCCTGCAAGCAAACGAGCAACACCCTCTCCTGGACGGATCAAGTCCCTAACGACGTTGCGCCGCGCGCGACCATTGAGGCCACGGACATTCCAGATGAAGATGTTTTCGTTCGACATGGATAACAATTGGCGACAAGGATGCAGAGGTTGCCTAGACCTCAAGCTCGCCCCCCTCGACAAGCTGGATGCCATCAATCGCACAACCGGCCGGGAACAACATCCTAATTGCTTCCCGCTTGGACTCCGAGAGGGCCCCGCTGAACAGGGCTAGGTACTCGTCGAACTCACCGTCCGCTCCAGTCTGTGCAGCCGGCAGCTGCAGCCGTTCTCCCCACTTGGCCATCAACACGTTCTGTGCCTGCACCGTTGGGTTGGGTGCCCTGCATCTGCTCTTGGTTGCGAACCTGCCGCTCCAACACGGAGGTGAGAGCGCGTTGTCCACCACACGGCGCCTCCTGGGGGCACGTAGCCATGGGGCTCAACTAGAATAGGCTCCGTGATGACAGAGCACAGCAGCGACTGGAGGCACCTTGAGATCTCCCGCGGTGTTGCCGGAGCCGGCACCGCCGCAGCCGACACCGCCGCCGCGTGTTGCCTAGGCTCGGGGGGAGAGGCAGCAGGCAGTGCAGTAAGCCTAGGTGGCGTCCTCGCATGATCAGGCCTCGACGTCGTCTAGGTTGGGCCTGCGAACTCGGCCTCAATGCAATGAGCCCACCAGTCCTTAGGGGACACCACGCCTAGATGCCACGGCCCCCATGGAGTAGCTGTGGGTTGGCTGCGAGTAAGCGACCCACAATGCTAGCCGAAGTGCCTTCAGGCACACGCAGCATCATAGGAGATAGGCTCGGCGGTACCAGCAACCGACAGACGCCCTTGGCACCCAAGGCAGAAGTCAGCGCAACAGCGACCGGCGTGGCCGGTGTGGA